CATCCTAAAAAATTTCATTATTAACTGTATAAACTAAAATTTAAACATGGATTAGACATAGATAGCTCAAGACAATCTGAAAAGTGAGAAACATTTTAAAAATTATCCACAAATTAAATTAAAAAAACAAAATACACACTTGTTTTATTAATATCCATAAAATATTGTGAAAATCAAATGTTGTTGTAATCAAAACTTTAGTTGAATATGGCTTTGCTCTAATGGAAACTTTAAATCATTTAAAATGCATTTTATATTTACAGGTAAAATAATGAAAATTGAATGTATTTTTTTAATTCCTAAAGTTAAAATTTAAGTGATTTTATAGGAAATTTCTTGAGAATTGAGAAATGTATTTTAAAGAAGTTTCAAATTATTTATATCTGAAAGAAAAAAAACCTTCATTTGGCAACAGATGTCTGCTCTTCAGTGGCGTAGCGAGGGGGGCCAAATAGTCTGCAAACAAGATTTCCCGAAAATTTCAACTTTTATTTTGAACGATTTCTGGAAAATATATTTAAAAATTAATAATTATCATAATATAATTATTTCCCCAATTTGTCTGATAAAATGTTTGCAGTACATCAACCAAATATCTCCGCATACAAAACGTTCTTTCTGACCCCTTTTATTTCTCTAAAATAGAGATATATTTTTAGTTTTTTTTTTTAAACGAAATGCGCATATAGGTCCCACTTTTTATTTTAAAACGATAACACGATCTTGTCCCGAATTTCTCAAAAATATCCAGTTTCCAAAAATGATTCCATAGTCTGGAAATAATGGAATCATTTGGGAAACGATCCGCTGCTATGGGTTTTGTTTGACTCTTGTGTAAACGACTGATGGCATTCCTGACTTCAACTAAGTCATCTTGCTGAGACATCGTATATTCACTGCTACAGAGCATCCAATGCATGTAAATTTTTTTTTTTTTTTAATCTCCTAACTACAAAAGGAATGCTGCAGGTCGCTCCTTACCCCTTATCTAAAAGGCATAGTTTTCAACCTCACAGACAAAATTTGCATATTCCCAACTTTGTAAAGGTTATAATTTTCCTTTATAATCTCTTCTATTTCCTTTTGTTAAAAAGGTTGTCGATTATATGGTTATTTCACACTGAACTCACAATATCCCTTAATTATTTTGAGCAGTGAATGTGATTGCAAAATATTACTCTGCAGTAGAAAAGAAACTGAACCTAAAACTCCATTACAGATTTATGGAGAAAATGTTTTTCCAAACCTAAGAGTCGCACTTCAAATACTCCTTACTATTTAATTATCAAATGTACTATGCATGTTCGTTCAGCAAATTAAAATAAATTTTGACTATTAACAATCAACGGTGGGACATCAATGGTACGTCATCCAGCATTTTTAAATACGGAAAGAGAAAAATTTGAAATGATCGACTTTGATGAACTAATTGATAAATTTGCTTCATTTAAGACAAGAAAAGTGTATACATAGTAATTAACTGTATTAATGTATTATATTATTATTAATAAATACATCTACTTATCTAATAATATATATTTAACTTTTAATTGTTTAAAAATTGTACTTTTAAAAATTTTATTAAATATGTAAAATAAGTAACACCTTTTTAACTAATTCCAGATTATCATATGTCTGATTTTTCAACCCACACAGATAGATTTCCGAATCCAATGCTAGTGCAGTTCGGTATTGACTATTCTTAACATGTTTTAGAGTATTTTATGGGAGATTCAGTATTTTATTATTACGAATATATTCTATAAGGTATTTCTCGCACCTTCTTGGCATGTCTTCATGGTATAGTGGTCTGCACGCTGGGTGTGTATTTCCAGAGGTCCACGGTTTGCTTCATTTTTCCTCTTTCCTGCTTCCAGCAAAACCTTATGTCTCTACAAGTAGTGCCCTAACTAAAAGGGTGGTGGATGCTGATTCTCCTCACTCAGGATTTGGCGCTTGGGTCCTCTAAAAACCCAGTCGCCCTTTAAAAGGTTGAGTATTTCTCCCGCCTTCATGGCATATCTTCGCAGTGTGGTGTTCTGCACGCTGGGCGCGTATTTCCAGAGGTTTGCAGTTCGATTCTCGGACAAGGCATTGCCTATTTTTCCTCTTTCCTGCTTCCATAAAATCCTAATGTCTCTACAATTCTATACATTATATTACTGTAAGTGATTTTTTTGGGGAGGGCACCAAAAATGTATTTTACCCCGGGCGCCAGTTATGCTCACTACGCCACTGCTACTCTTCCATTTGCCACAACCATTTTTCCAAAATAAAAATAAATATGGAATTATAACTGTGCAAAGTTAATACTTGTGTTTTGATATACATGGTAGTTAGTTCCAATAACTATGATGTCCATCTGGTCATAATTACAGCCTTAAAGATTAGTCAAGTTCTATCTTGTACAATATATACAATGCAAACCAGTTTTCTTTCTTGTGTTAATTCACTTTTTGCTAATAGAAATCAGGTCTGAAAATGCTTTCAAATACATCAATACTTCTCTTCAGTTCAAATACATAATGGATATGATGTAAAAACAGAATACCATTGCATGGAACTTGACTAAGGAAGGATGCAATCTGTGCAGCCGCAGAAGACTACAGGATGCTTGTACCGGCAACACAACTGCCAGCCCTGATGTGTTGCAAAAATGACATTTGCGAAACCAGCTCCGAAGACAAACCAGACAAAGACAGCATCAACTACAACTACTCAAATATAACAGTTGACCAAGCTAATCTGGGTGGACAATCAATCCAGCAGTTTTCTGCACAAGTAGGCAGTGGTTGCAATACGAGAGATATAGAGATGATTGAGACTTTATTAAGTGTTTATAAAAAGGCTATCATTTATCCAGATCTACTGGTCAATTTCATTAAAGTAAAAATCAAAAGCTTTCTTGGGGGGGATCAGAAGAAAGCTTTAAATGAATATTATGGGGGGGGGAGATTATGAGGCAATTACACAGGAAAAAACTGCTATTATAAAAGAAGAAAAATTAGACAAATGGTTTTTAACATAATTACACAGAATTTTTGCTTTCAATAATAAAATTCTTTAGAAACTGTACGTTATAGCATTTATTATCTTATTTAAGCATGAGAATTAGAATTTTCAATATATTAAGCCCTTTTACTGATATCATAATTAAATTATCCCAACTGTTAAAGAAATAGTTATGAAATTTACAAACCGAAAAATCAAGACTTATAGGCAACTGATAGCTTGGCAAATTTAAAGATACAAAAGAAAGGACTCGACATTCCCAAAATGAAGAATTTGTTTTTGATATAATAAAGAGGAGCATTCAAACAGTAACTGTAATGTGTGTCAAGAGCACATGCTTTAAATGCAGGTTCAGCAACAAATCACCCAAATGGCACAATTTTTAGGCACCCTTTAATTACAAAATTTGTAAAAAATAAATTTTGAACACAGAAAACTAAAACATTTTCTTGGTAATAATGAGAAACTTGAAAAAAGTTGGTGAATTTGGTAGATATGCTATTAGAAGCTTTAGATGTCAATAACGTTCTGTGCCAATTTTGTGGCATAAAAAGAACAAGGGCATGCTTTATGATTCAGAGATGCTGAATTAGTCTAAAGCAGTGGTACGTAAGAGAAAAATAGGTGGTCTGCAAAGAAGCAAAGTATTTTTAACCCTTTGACGTGCACTATATTATTTAAAAAAATTTTAAAATAAAAACTCTAGAAATTGAATATTATGATCCCAGAGACAATATATGAATTACAAAATAATCTACTCTTGCCCATTGTTCTGTGGGTGGTGATCGCACTATGAAACCAGCACGTGTCTACGACTTTGAAACTTACCGAGGTAATAGTGAGGGCGGAACTTACCCTTTTCCGTGCGCGTTTCCAATGAATGACGAAATTTACGAATTTTAAAAAAATGTCTGTAAGAATTGCATTATATGTAAATTTTCTACATTATTTTATAAAGTACATCATAAGAGAAAAATTAAAAAATAAGCATTTATGTAATTTTTCTATAGCAGTGAAAATGTAAGTACCTACATAATAAGGACGTTCGGATAAATGGATAAAAAAACTCAGTGCTTTTTTTTAAATTTCAAAAAACATTTTTTTGTGACACTGTTGAAAGCACGTTTTGTCTTTTTGGTACATGTATAGACCCACGTTGCACATTTCGCATATGTATCTTATTCTATGAAATTTCTTCCTTGTGCTACAAAATGTACACTTCTAAATTTCAATGGTACATGTCAAGCATTATTTAGTTTATTTTCATCTGGCACATGAAATTTGTGGTTTTTTTATGTTAATAGGGAGGGGCTTGGACTTTTTGGCTTTGGTACAGATCATTCGTTTCCCATTAATATTTATTTTATTTTATTTGTATTTTGTCCCAAAATATTTAGAAAATACTTTTAATTTAAATAAAACTTTTACACGATTTCTATTTTGAATTATACCAAAGTATATTTACATTAAATGTAAACCACGTCAAATATTTTATAAAATCACAATACTAGTTTGGCAAGCAAGTGTGTTGAGGTCAGAGAAAAATCTCTGGAAAAGAAAGACTTTTTCACTGAGCAGGTGCATGTATTTAGTAATAAAATAACTCAGTGGTTTCAAAGCACCTCATCTATATCCAGGTAAAAATACACACCGCCATTTGAAAAGCAAGCAAACACCATTGTGAAGAGCAGTGGTTTCAAAGCACGACCACTGAGCCTCTAGAGGATTGTGAGTATTCTCACACACTCTAGCGGTGCAATGGTCGCACCCTGAAACCACAAAGCAAATGCCATAAATATAGATAGTTTTTTTTTTATATATATGCAGCTTAATTATTGCAATTTTTTATTGTTCACGATAGAAATCATGATGTGCAATGAGTAACTTTTGAAACTTAAAGTTGTTTATATTAATAAAAGGAAGTTATTTTGTGTTATTGAAAACGAATTTTAAAAGGCATCCTATTTGAAGTACTAAGACTTGAAACATGTACGATTCTGCAGTCATTTTGTGTTATTTAGAGGTAAAAGATCAGTAATCAATTGATTTTCACTCAAAAATTTCGGAAAGAAAAGAAAAAAATTCGAAAATTGGTGGTTTCAGAGAGCGCGCATCAAAGGGATAACTATTAAATTCAAAAATTAAAACCCCAACATCCTGATTGAGGTTTTTCTCTAACACTCGTAAATTCATGCGATTTGAGCTTTGTTCAAGAGTGGTGGTGGTGGTGGTAGTAGTAGTACTAAAGTAGTGGTGGTAGTAGTAGTACATTTTTGTTTAGAAGATACGTATTAGTCAAAAGGTTGAGAACTGCTGGTCTAATAAGGAGCATTACCTCTCTTCTCCAAAGGGCAGAATATTTAAACACAATAAGCACAGAAGTTGATTTTTTGGGGACAGGTGACATTAGCAGCACTTTCCCTTGATGATTTTCATCATGACCATGCTTTGACAGCAAGTGATACATTCAGATGCTCTAAAGTTGCAGGAAGTCATTCAGAAAACGATTGCAACAAGAACCTGAACATTATGCTTGGTCTCAATGATAATACACACGCTCACATTGGAAACAATGCAAGCAATCAGATATAATGGAAAATAGTCTCTCATCCATGACACAAACTTGACCTTATATCTGCTGTTGTGACTTGTCTCACTTGCCTGACAGTAACATCAGAACAAACCCATGAAATTCATTGTGGCAAGAAATGCACTGTTGCACTTGTCGTAGGCAAGAACCTTGAGCACCATACAGGCGACGGTATAACTGCTCAATTCCACCACCAATTTTGAAGGAGAGCACCTGGGGGAGGGTCAAAGGGTCTCTCACCCCTCTTCCCATACCACCAACCTCTCAGGAGGACTTTCAGCTCGCCACATATTTATAGTGCTCCCATGCCACACAGGCACTATTCATTTACACCTATACATGTCTTCGTTGGGATTCAATCCTGAGCCTTTTGGTACAGTAATTAGCATCGTTGACCACTATTCCATTTGGGCAGCTGATTTTATATCTTCAGATTTCCACTGGTTTAATATGATAAATGACTGGACAACAATCCACTGACATAAATGAAATAAAAATGGTTGAAAAGCAATTAACATAAAGCACACCTGAGTTTTTGCAAATCAGGGCTCAGTATTGGAACAAATTCAATGTTTGTAATGAAACTAAGGAATACCTTTATTTAGAGGAACACTCACTCCAACAACATGTGGACTTTAAACAATCTATGTCAGTTAATAAAAAAGATAAGGCAACATTTGCATTTTTTTATATTGCCCCAATAATTAAAAACAAAAACATGCCTATAATTTAAAAAAAAATCATATTTTCATATTTGCTTAGTATATTTTTCACAACTAAAATAATTATGAGCATAATTTAAATATTATCCTCAAAAATGAAATATGAAAAAAAAAATCAGTTTTATTCTCAAATTTTGCTTAGTATATTCTTCACAACTAAAATGATTATGAGCATAATTTGACGTTTCGTGGTTTTCCCCATGTGTAATGTGTATACGATCCAGTTTCCCTTAGAAAGTCCTCCACGAAGGCATCCCTCCCTTTAGCCAGATAGCCCTTGAGGCTTTGCTGTAATTGAATAATCCCAATCCCTTTAGTGATGGCAGCTACATGCATAACTGTAATAAAAACAAATTATATTTGGGGTAATATTATATCCTATTCGTTAAAATTCTGAAAATTGGATTCAACCTTGAGTACTTTGTATGACAGGATAAGCTATTACACACTGATGAGGCCATTCCAGTGTTTTGGCACATAAACTGCAGCCATCCACACATATAAAGGTAAAGATGTTTTCGTTTTTTTAATTTCATTCATAATTCAGGAATGGGTGTCACATAAAACTATACAAATAGAAGTTATTTTTATATTTGTTCTTATTAAATAATGATGGTGTAAACTCAGTTTGAAATAACAAAAATTCATGGACAATAAAATTACACATAATTAAGAAATTACATTCAAAAATTATATTACATGTGATATTTCAGGAACGTGTTTAGCTGCCAAATAATGTTTAAAGATTTAAAAAACGAGTAATCAAGAAGAAACACTAAATTTGGCAAGGAATGATCAACAATAAAATATATTCAGGACTGGTAACATCAAATGCAACTGTTATACTGCACTGGGCAGCAGAATTAGGTATGGAACAATTGTTAGAATTTAGAAGCTGCAGGAAATAGACTTGGAGGCAAAAAGCCTATCACAGGCCCTGATAATATCACACAGACAGCACAGCATCCAAACAGATGTTCAAATGATAAAACTGTGCATCAGTTCAAAAACGAAATCGACAAAAAAGTACTCAATAAAACGGAAAATAGTGAATGACAGTAAATGTCAGAAAATGGAAAGTTGTTAAAATCACTACATTTTTTACAAGGATAAACTTTCAAATTTAATAAACAGTAAAAAAAAGTTCAAAAGCAAATCTCACTATTTTGTAGCAATTATGCCGATTTATTTTTTCTACTATATCAGTTCTCTACATTTCCATTCATCCTCTAGTAAAAAAAAAAAATTAAATTTATCAATACATCATACCATTCATTTCTTATGTTGTGCTAAGTAAACAAGCTAATCACTCAATTAGCAGATGGACATCATGCTATCTACTGTAAGATACTGCATAAAGCATGTCAGATTCAAAATACACCACTTCTCCATAAATTATAATGCTTACATATGAAAAAATAATATATTACACACTGAATACTTATAATTAAATAACATAAGTACCAAAAGCAGAAGAGGGAAATAGTAACATAATAAAATATTTATGGAATGCAACAGAATAAAATTTCTGATAAAGTCTAACAATATACAAATTTGATAATGCAATTTTGTCTAAAGCTTTTAAAAAAGTGATTAGATTTTAAATCTCACAATTAACAATGAATAAGATTTCAGTTGCAAAATCTATTATTTTTCACGATCGTATCCCTTTAAAAACTTAAAAACAACAGTTAGGATTCAGCATTTTGAAATTAAAAACAGATTACTGTATTACATTGTGTAAAATCCATATAGACATATATATTTCTAACACATGCACACACACATATATATTTCTAACACATGCACACACACATATATATTTCTAACACATGCACACACACATATATATAAATATATGTTTTCAAACTAAAAATTATGTTACATTTAATGTACATCATAATATATATATACACACACACGATACTGAAAAGTTCAAAATATAAAAGTTTTCGTAAACGCAATTCCTTTTTTTAGAAACTTGTCCATAAATAGCTAATGTAAGTCCAGAGTATATATTTAAAGGTGGTGAAGTCCAAAAATCATTGCACTGTTCTGTAAGGTTGAAACAATGGATGCTCTTTTATTTCATAAGCTGTTGGCCTGTTTGCAGAATCATTATTTAGCAACTGTCTCAGTAGAATGCTCTAAAATTATAGAGATCACTGTAAATACCAAAACACTAATATGCAAATAGCTAGAAAGAAGTATTTTCTATTAATAATTTAAATGCTCATGATAAAATAAATAAAATCAATAATGGTTGCAAAAAAGGTTATACAAATTCAATGGTTTAAAACCACCAGCCGAAAAATAATAATAATAATAAAAAACAACACTCCCCTTTACAAAATCTAGAAATGGAGAACATAATATTCAGCAAAAAGAAGCAAGTGATTTTGCTCCTAAGATTCCTGAATGTTACTTCCAAAACACTCGCTGGCTGGGGAGTTGCACCATAGTATTGATATTGGCCAGGTTCACATTTCTAACCCTTGAGCGGTAGTAAGAGTTATGGCAGGCACTATGCATTTACCATCCCACCCTGTGCAATCTATTAATCTGCGGGTCTTAAATTCAGCTACCCAGTGTTTTTTATAAATTCTAAAAGTTCTGCCATCCCTAATTTTTTCTGCTCAGTGCTACTTTAAATTCTAAAATTTTTGCCCCACAGTCCAACCGGTGCCAGAGCCACCACACTGGCTCTGGCACAAGTTTTGTTGGAAGCAAGCTTTCTTCTATCTGACAAACAGTAAAAGACAGAATGTTGTCATGTCCGCATTTCATCTTACTAGATTTAAACTAATGAGCTGAAATCTGGAAATTTCTGAAGTCTACAATTAACAGTCTCAACAATTCTGGATCTTAGACTTTTTAATGTAAAGAAGACATATTCAACAAGGAATGGCATGATCCCACTCAAGAAAAAGGGCATTAGACACAAACAGCTAAGCTCTTAAGCCTGAATGGAATCCTAACTTTTAGTATTAAACCTGGAAATCAGCTTTGATTAAGCATCACACCATCACAGATGGCTGACACAGAGATTATAATAAGCATTTATATCAAACTGAAGCTTCAGAAGATAAATCAATGTCTTTTACTAGAGTTAAGTGTGATGTTTAAGGAAAAACAGCCAATTATGCATAACTGATGAAAAAAAAATGTAAGCTGGATTAATGGGTATATGTTAATCGGTTTCATCAGAAATTATGGCAATAAAAGTTTTAAAGATATAGGAAAAATTTAAAGGGCAGATCCTGCATTTCAGCATATAAAATGAATACTGGAATTCACGCGTGCTCAAAGTTTTATGCCAGTGGTCAACTGTATTTTGCAAAAGATTATTTTGTTAACACAATGGAAACATGTTAAAATCTGCTTTTGATTGCCTAAAATTTCAAAATTTGAATGTCAGCTATTTTTTTGGCAGGGGGCACTAATTTGTGCTGTCTACAGAAGAATGAAAATATCAGCTACGGGGAAATGAATATGATTTCTTTCTGCAACTATAAAATATTATGCTAAATACAACAGCATGAAACACAGCAAAACAGTTTCGATAATTCAGATGTTTCGCAGCTTAAAATCAGAAGTTCTGATTTTCTATAACTCCTTCTTATAAAATGTTATTTTCAAAAGGGCAAAATTCTGTCCAAAAATAAATCTGATATTTTATGTAAATACTTAAAAATTTCCTGGAAGAGTTCTAAGCAGTCTATTTTATTACAGTTGCTAGGCAACTTAAATCGTTAACCTTTCTACTGCTGAAACAATAAACAAATGCATGGAATAAAATATATTAAAACTGTATAAATCAAAACTTGTATGTGAAAGTGAAGTCTATTTTTATTTTTAGTGGAAAGGGAGGGAAAGGAAAATCTTATACAATGATGAAGGCCTGGAATTCAGAAAGCAGCCAAGACACAGCTATATTTGCATTCAGAAATGATCAAATATCCAGTTGGCAAAGCTGGCATTGATGCCCCTGCTCCTTCAGTATTCCTTCAATGCAATGCACAGCATTTGTACATAAATTACATTAAATGGTTCTTGTACCACTTCTGTGTTTATGATTTATGCTCACTGTCAAAAACTTTACTAATACAGTATAAAGTCCGAGATCCGGACCTTAAAGCCACCAGCAAGGGAAAAAAAAAAGCTTTAAGCATGTGCATTTATTTTTTTCCCCCATAATAAAATACATGGAAAATATCGATTCTTAATTTTCACTTTGGCACTAAATAAAATACCTTGTTATTGAAGAAACAGTCATTTTAACATAAATTTGCGTGATCAATAGTTTGGCTCCGTATCTGCTAAGCATACATCTCAAACGGAAACATTCTACATAAAAGCATCCCTGATTTTATGACTACTGGTATTTTGTATCCCTGCCACCAACCTGGCGAATTATTATTTTGCTTTCATCACCGTATCGTATGTTTATCAATGCATGACAAGTTGAGTAATGACTCATGCAGCGATGCCTAAACAATTTTTTATATTAGTAATTGAATAACAAAGAGTATGGAACCCTTTGATGTTGACATTACGCTTGGTGATGATTACAGATTTAAGTTAAATGTGGTAAGTGTAGACGAGGAAAAATTTAACAAAAATTTCTTTCCATATAATAAAAAATAGATACTGGAAATGATACTCAATGGCCAAAACATTATATTTAGTGCTATTTGAATTAAGAACAACAAATTTATTTATTTATTAAGAACAACTGATTTGCTGCTATCAAGGAAAAATGTTGAACTGAGTTATGGCACAAAAAAGATAATGTTCCATCAAGACTTTTTACATGTATCTTCATTCACTGGCTCAACTCTGTACAGACTCGAATGGGATCTTTTGCCACACCCACCATATAGCCCCGACATCACTCTTTCGAACCATCTTTTTTCGCACCTGCATCTAGATCTTCCTGGTGTTATCCTTCATTCCACACAGGGCATCCAAAATGAGGTTGATCTGTTTTTAGACTCGCTGCCACCAAGTTTCTGGGCCAAAGGCTTTGAAAAACTACCAAAAACAGCAGAAAATTATAGATTTGGGTGGTGATTAGTACCTGCACTAAAGGTTCTCAGGGTTGCCACTCAAACAGGAGAATGAAATTCCCTGACTTTTCCAGGGTTTTCCAGGTGCGTTTCAAGAAAATTCCAGTCTATCCGCGTAATGTACGTTGGCTACGCTAAGAGGTAAATTATGGTATTACTTGTATTGTGTAGCAAATTCACTTAATTATTCAATAAATCCCAGAGGACATTTATTCTTAATTATTCTTGGTATACTTTGTTTGATAATTTTGTTTACTTTTCCACTTAAGAAACTTAATAAAATTTAAGAATATATACATTGGATAACAAATGTATGTTTTATTTAATTATTACTCATGATCATCACCAGTTCAACATGAGGCTAATCCGATCCTTATAAATCACAATGCAATGCTAAATAGTTAGGTTAGATTTTAGGTAAATTTAATTTGTGTGAGGTATGTTCTTAAAAAGCACCTTAACACTTGAAAACACAAATATAAAATTATAATAGTTGTTGTTTTCTCCATTGAAAGATTGAGATTAGAATCTTCCCAATCTGGAATAAAATAAGCCTTTTTTTGCAGACATTCTGCAGCTCTAAACGAAACAAAGAAATCTACTTTAATAAATTGAGGTATTTTTATATTTAGTTCGCAGCATACATAAGAAAAAAAAAATATGTGCATTAAATTTCGTGATGGTATGTCATCATACTGCTAGAATTAATTTCAAGATTATGCCAGAGAAAATTTCCTGAAATTTAGAAATATTATTTATTAATAATTAATAAATTTAGAGGGAAGAAGCATCATTAAATTATATGAATAACATAAAAATAAAGATAATTACTTAAAAATTGAATTAGAATAATCAACGATATTTTAGCGAATATAAATATATTACATGGTTAGCCTAGATGACAGATTACTATTTTTTATTTTACTGCAAAATGGCAAGGTATTTATTAAAAAGAAAAGTTTAAAAAGATTTTGCGGTAAAATTCTAGTATACGGTAAGGCTTTGGCACGATTTTGAAAATTGTCGCCAAGACCAAAATGACCCGTTTACTGCGCATCATCATGTCACCAAATCCATACATGGAGATTATTTTAACCAAAAAACGTCTATGCAAAGAATCTGTAATTCTTTGGTCTATGTAAAGAAGAAAATTTTCCATACAAGTAAAATGCTATTACGCCGCTAGAATGCGGACGGAAAATTTGCCAAGGGATTTGGCGACGGAACCTGGCGACCAGAATTTCCCTCTCCGCGATGTGTACCGGAAATTGAGAAACGTGTTAAGAAGAAACGTTCTTTGACAAAAAGAAAGCTACGAAAATCCGTTTTTAAATTATTGCGAAAAATCCAAGAAGAAACGTTTTATATCAAAGGACGTTTCTTCTTGGATTTTTCGCAATAATTTTAAAAAAACGGATTTTCGTAGTTTCCCCCCCCCCTGAAAATTACTAACCTATGAATTTATTTACTTGCGCCAAAAAATATTTTCTTTTAATTTAGAGTTTAACTACTTGCGCTAAGACTAAACTTCACGGTGCGGTGCCGTGCGCTACAATATAGCAAGTGGTAAAGTGTCTCATTTACGCCGCTCCGCATCTGCAAGTACAATCCAGAGCTGTAACTCGAGAAATAAACAATCTCGTTGTTAGGCGACGTGTGCACCATGTTATTTTCATTTTTGCGATAAATGCTTATCGACGTGGTGTTCACGTCGCTCGCAGTTTGAGACAAAAACATCTCGACGTGCGTGGCACGTCTTTTTAGCGCAAGTGGTTAAAGAAATTTTAAAGGATATTCATTTAATAATCTCTTGATAACGTGACCTTCGAACTTCGACACCGGTTTCCAGCTTTGGCGGCAGATATATCATGCATGCACAGCTGTTTCCCTCTATGATGGAACGGAGCCACGTCTGTTGCAGAGAGGTTTTCCTTCTTTACAATACATATTCTTTGATTCTAACCTCCATGGTACCGTATACTAAGATTAAACCCATTTTGTTTTATACGAGAACAGGTACTTTCTTTAGTTCATGCACTGCACATGCGATTCTCGAGAATACTGGAAACCAAAAGTTG